CAGTGCCCCTGTGGCCAGGAGGGCCAACAGAATCTTGGGATGCCTCAGGAAGAGCAGTGCCAGAAGGTCAAGGGAGATGATCCTGACCTGCTGCTCAGCTCTAGTGAGGTCTCACCTGGAGTCTGTGCTCGGTTCTGGTCTCTGGAGCAGAGCAGAGATATGGAGCTCCTGGAATGAGTCCAGCAGAGAGCTACAAAAGTGATGAAGGGACTGGAGCATCTCTATTATGAGTAAAGGCTGAGAGAATCGATCCTGTTCAGCCTCGAGAAGGGATAACAGAGAGGGGACCTCATCAGTGTCTGTCAGTGTCTGCAGAGAGGGGTCAGAGGATGGACCAGGCTCTGCTCGGGGTGCTGGGCAGCAGGACAAGAGACAACAGGCAGAAAATGATGCACAGGAAATTCGACCTGAACATGAGAAAAAACTTCTTTACTGTGTGGGTGATTGTGCAGTGGAAGAGATTTCCCTCTGTCTCCCTCATTGAAGATACTCAAGAACTGTCTGGATGCAGTGCTCTGCTGTGTACTCTGGGATGATGCTGCATGAGCAGGGATTTTGGACCAGATGACCCACTGTGGCGCCTTCCAGCCTGACCCAGCATGTGATTCTGTGAATTGTGTTAATACATCTTGGTGGATGAGGACAAGGTGACAGATATGCTGAGAGGGATAACTGATGACCCTTTATTGCCTTGTTTTGGTTCTGTTTTGTCAGTGAAGAGGTGTAGCACAACCTCCTACAAGGATGGGAGGAGTGGGAAGCTTTCCTCCATTACCTGCCATCAGCCAAGCCCCAGGCAGACATGCCCTCAGTCCCCCACCAGTGGGACTGGGAGAGGAAGGGCATGGCAAAAGCTGGAAAACTCAAGGGTTGAGATAGAAAGAGTTTGATAGAAAAAGCAAAAGCCACAAACACAAGCAAAGCAAAAGGAATTAATTCACCATATCCCATGGTCAAGCAGGAGTTCAGCCATCTCCAGGAGAGCAGGGCCTGTCACCTCTAATGGTGACTCAGAAAGACAAATGCCATTGTTCCAAATGTCCTGTCTTTACTCAGTACTTCACACTGAGCATGATGCCACATGGTCTGGAATATCCCTTTGGTCAGCTGGGGTCACCTATCCCAGCTGTGTCTCCTCCCAGCCTTCCATGCACCCAGAAAAGCCCTTGGGTCTGCATAAGCTCTGCTAAAAAAACGTTTCATATTATCATCACTGTGCTCAGCACAAAGCCAAAACACAGCCCCATCCACACCAGCTACTGTGGAGAATCAGTTCTTTGTTCTCTGCCCTGGCCAAAACCAGCACATCCTTGTAATACTTAAGAATCAAGGTGGCATTTCCTGGAATGGAAATTAGCACACAGTTTAACTAGACACAGTTGCCACTGAGAGGTATTTCACAGTGCTTTTGATAACCCTGCCTGCTCCCAAGGAGAAGGCTGACCACAGGTATCCTGTGGGGCTGCCCCAGTTTTGCAGGAAAACTGCTCAATGTTGGTGCAAAGGGTCAGAGATTTGTACTCTCTAGTAACCAGGGCAGTGCCTACACGCCTTAGGACTTTCCCAACACTCAACCTTTCTTGATCAAACTTTACCTTTGCTCAACAAAGCAAATTTCAATTGAATTGAATTCAATTCAATTGAATTTCAATGATAAATATAATTTAAATCAACATAAAGAGCCATAAAAAAGAAACATGTAAGTTGTGACCTGGTATGTGAGCCATCTTTGTTACCTTCAATTGCTCAGTGGACCAGAATTAGCTAAATATCTATTATGGACCTTTCCCCATGGAAGACAGCAGGATCCTGTCCTACAAAGTGTCTTGGATGCCTGGATTATCCTTTTTTTTTGCTATACATTATATAGTAGAAGTGTTGCATATCATGAAAAAAACCCCAGAATTTGGGAATTTTATTCACGAACTTTTATTAAACTGAAATGCGAACACCATTGCAAAGAGATTTTACAATGACAAAAGATCAAAAATTCATCAGAAAGCTACAGACTTCATAACAATATTGATCTTACAAGTGAAAACACTAACAGATTTTAGTAAAGCCAGCATTTTCAATATTAAGGACTTAAAAAATGTATTTGAAAGCATTTTCCATTAGATACACTAAAAAACAATGAATAATTCCTGAGCAACTACTTTTATACCAGTATTCTCCAAACAATGTACATACTACATATGAAATCGAATTCTTACAATTTGTTGGATTTTAGAAATTTTCAAAAAAATTTGGATCTGGTTCACAGAATAATTGTGCTTAAAGTCATTCTGTTGCTACAGTAATGACTGCAATAACCTCTCATGTTCCACATTGCAAACAAATTCTGAAACTGTAGTGGGTAACATGCCTAGCTTGTATTGCAGAGCTACCAATGAAATGGTTTATGGTAGATGGAAATAAGTTTGCTCTAAATATTGGGTCATCTCTTTCTCTGCTGAAAATATACTGTTTATTCTGGATATTATTCAGAAGGTGCAATTTTTGTTTCTTTTAAGAGACTGCTGGCACAATTAAAGGCAAGGGAGTTCCAGAGACTTTTACCCTCACTTAACACCACATCAGAATTTTGAACAAATATAATTAGTTAATGACTGCTAACATGTTTTTTTCTGGGCTGTACTTTTCTTAACAGTGTCCTCAGTATTGCTATATCTTACACAATGACTAAAACATACACAAAACACAACAAAAACATTTCAGAAGCCAAGATAATGCTGAGTATCTCTGAGCAATGTAACACATATATAGGAACTGATGGTTATATTATATCAGATGAACTGTTCTTGTAGTCAGAATAAAAAAAATTACTTTCCAAAATGAAAAATAACACTAAAGCAGCCCAGGAGCTCTTTCTAAGTATAGCTGAGCAGTAATTTCCTCTCTCTTTTGGAATGAAAGACAAAGGGATGAGAATAAAGAGTAGTCTACAGCACTATGAATATCAAAAAATATGACAACAAAAACACCAGTATAGTTCTGCCTGTAGAAAAATCTGCCTTTTTCTAGACATGTATAGCTTTCCATCCTACTGAAGGGATATTTGCTACAAGTGACTTGTACAATGATTTTCAGCATCCTTTAAAAGTTCTGCTCAGTGCTACAAGTCTCTAAAACTAACCATTGCAGGAACTGAAATGAAATCTTTCAACGTTTATTGATGTCAAAATGAGGTGAAGGTACTCAGCAGCTCACAAAAATAGATCCAAAAGCAGCATTGTTAAAAAAATAGTTAAATAATGTCAAGATCCAAGACAAGCAGCCTCACCGAGTAGAAAAGGACAATAAATCTTCCAAAAAGAGGAATATATATAAAAACTCTTTTTTATATCTAACTGCTCTTTGCACCAACATCTTGAGTATAAGATCAGCTTTTAGCATATCAGCACTCTAAGAGGTCACAACTAATACAGATATTTTTCCTAACTACTTCCAACAGATAATAGTGCCTCTTAAAAATGTAACATTGAAGAGATATATTTTAAACCTAACTTGGTAATTTTCAGAATTTTTACCAAGGTAGAGACTTTGCGACTAAGGAAAATATTAACAGATACATTGTCACAGGTACAAACTGAAACAATGCCCAGAAATGCCAAGAGACTGCTTAGAAATATCCCCAAAGTATTTTTTTCTCTTGGAGCTTCTAGGTCATTGCATTATATACACTAAATAAAAACAAAAACAAAACCAAAAAACAACGCTTAGGAATAGTAGATGTATGTGTGAGACAATGTAAATGGATAAATTAATCTGACCTGTATATCACCTGTGTGAAAAACGGAAGGTTGTCAATAAAAGCACTGTGGCACACTTCACTTCTCTTGATTTTTTTCCCTTAGGAATGTAGAAAATGCAATGTCAGTTCAGATGCTGAGCCTGACTTTTCAAGTTTTGTTTTTGCCAGGGACCAATGTCAGATATGGGGAAGAAAAATCCCCATAAACAGTAGAAAATGAATGACCACTTCTCATGTATACGAATTTTTCTGCTTATACTTAACAGCTGATCCACAGTAGCCGATTTCAGCATTTTGCCAACTCTTTAGCATTTCATAAGGCTTTACTGCTTTTGTGGACTATATCAGGCAGCTGTGCACATTCCCACTTTTGGTATAAAAGTATTTTCTTCTCTTCCCTTTTTTCCCTCCTCACTAATTCATTTATCACTCCTCTCAGTTCTGCTAGTGCTCATTTTTACCATCTATTCTTACATTTGATTCTTTCCCTTCCATTTTCTCTTCTTCCTCCCTCTTCTCAGCTGTAGTCAAACTGCATTTTCCCCCTCATCCTCTACCATGTACCATCCCATAGTGACTGTACTCCTTTTCCATTCTGTCACATGCAGCAACCTCGTCCCTCTTCCTGTCACTTAGTGGTGGACTTGGCAGGACTGGGTTAACATTTGGGCTCTATCACCTTGCAGGTCTTTTCCAATCTAAACTGTTCTATGCTTCTATGATACTTAAGTTCTTTATATCCCCATATATTGTGTATTTAGGCATCCATTTATCTTTATTTTTCTGCTTGACACACGCCAGAAAAATGAAGAAAATCCCTGATTTGTTTCAAAATGGTTTTCAAGGCTGGGCCACAAGGTTATTCAAATTATTATAATTCAGTCCATCTTTCCACACCCACAGGAACTGGAGCCTGATTTTAGTGTGATGGTTGGAGATAATTGAGAGCAGGGCTTTCCATTTTTACTCTAATTTAGAGACAGAATTGAAAGGTTTACTTCCTAGGAACTCAGTTGAAAACGTGTAATTCTAAACAGCAACTATTGATAAATTCAGTTCCATAGCTGAGATCCAGAATGAGAGTGCCTCTGGAAAACTGGTTCAATCAAGTCCTAGTGACCTGGGAATACAAATAGTGACAAAAACCTTTTCAGGTCAGGAATGGGACTGATGCTTGACTGCCTATCTGGGCACCAAGGATATATTCCTTCAAAATGGAATTTTCTTTAGTTTTTGCTTTTTCCCCCCCATATTAAAACATTTAATTTTACTACACATCTCAAATATTCCATGCTTATACTACCACTGCAACCCAGATGATGATTCCATCACCGGAAATTTACACACAAAGCAAAATTCTTTTTCCTGCTTGCCTTTTAAAGGGAACAAAAAAAAAAAAAAAATTTGAGGTAGCAATTATTTGAGAATGTGATGCCTGATCTCATGACACTTTTTTCACTTCATTTGTCTTTATGGCTTTGTAGAAGATGTCTGATGTCTATCAACTGGCTTACATGCCTTCAGTTTCTTTGCACAACACCTTCAGATGGTTTATAGTTACCATGAAATTACAAAATACATTTACAGGCTTCATGATGTAAACCCCACATAGACAATGCTTCAGAGAGCACAAAATAATTCTGCTTATTCATTTTGAACACCTGCTGCTAATACACTTTGGATACTTGAATGACATTTAAAGCAGCTGTCTATTTTTCAGCCATTTAAACATAGACACACAGATATACTACAGAATTCACTGTTTTGACATAAATCATCATTACACATTTGTTTGAAAGCTTGTTCCATAAATACATATATCCTCTTACTAATATATCAGGTTAATTCACTGCATTTTAATTCAATAATCTTTGTAGTTACATAGTATCATCAAGACCAAACTTAAACCTCATCATATGTAATACTGAGTTTTGTGACCACGTGCCAATTCATTAGTTTGTATTTCTTTTAAAGTCTGAAATATTACAGAGAAATACTAAAATTGTACATCAAACATGTCTCTGCTAAAAAAAAAATCTAGTAAAGAAATTCATGATAATGAATCATATTTGCCAATACTGAAGGAAAAACGTTAATAAAATTAGTCTGAGTCAGAAGGAAAGGTAATTAAATAAAATTAAATTTTAGGAATTTCATAAAACTAATTATGTAGAAGAGTCTTTATGCTACTTTTTAGGGCTTTTATGTTATTACAAAGTAGTTCACACTATAAATGACACGTGGATAACTTTGACATTGAAAACATTATTCACATTCTTGAAATAATTATTCCAAGTGAGAAATTTGACTAATGATGCAAGAGCTAGAGGGCTGATCTCTGTTCCTAGGGTAAATTCTGTCCATCCCTCTGGATATCAAAGGAGGTGTCAAGAGTGTTTTTCCTCACTGATGTGTCATAATTTTACATTGATTGACTCTGTAGAACTGCTGCAAAAACTCATGTACTTCCTAATGAAAAGCTTAAAGAACTGCCAGCAAAAATATTGTTACAAACAGAAAACATTAAGTATTTGAACATTCAAAGGACCAAACTCTTAGCTGAAGGTTACTTTGATTTTACAGAACACTAGGTTGTTTGTTTTCTAATGTACTTTCAGATGTTTAAGGTCACTTTCAGAAGCTCTGCCACTGAGAGCAAGAAGGTGTTTTGGAAAATATAAGCAAATCCAAGGGAAAATTAATCTATCTGCACATTTGTTCAGCTTCAAGAATTAAATATATTTATGAAAATGCATTCAAATTTCATTTAGCTAGTAAATCCCCAAAAACTTCAAAGCAGCAAGTAAATGCCCCTCTTCCACTGTGGGTGAGTTTCCCTTTTTACAGAGAGCCATGATGATTTTGCATATTGAGACATTCATTAGCAAAGGTGGGAGATGCTCAACACCACACGGAGTAATTTAGGCTACAACTATTTCGCAGTTTCAGTATTCATTTATGACAAAGCAGAGAAAGTCCTTGAATCTCTGTGTGGATTATTGGAGGCACACATGCCTACAGCTAGGCAGGATGAATCATACACTTAAAATCTGCTAACTGTTGTGTCTGTTTGCTTCAGGTGAAAAGTAACTTCAGGTAAAAAGATATGGCAGGAACAGCTTGTTGCTGTTGTACATCTGGGTAGGCACCTGTGTTCTAACCTAAGAAATCTCCTCTGTAAGGAACATCTTTAGGCTCTAGGCTTGATGAGATACTACAGTTTCTGTGCATCACTAGATACATCCCAGAAGGCCTGTAGCAGCATATCTTTATGCACATCATTGGGTGCAGGAACCAACACAGTGTTTACAATCTGTGTAAGGAAAGAAGAATGTGTCTGATCTTACTAGCTGTCAGATTCGGTCAGAAAACTGAAAGGTAAATAAAACACTGTCAGACACAGTGTGTTACCAGCTTACACACTTCCACACACACTGGTTTATTCATAACTCAAGAGCTCATTTCCAGTACTTCTAACATCTCTAGAAATTTGTAAGGTACACTACAAACAAAAATTGTTCTGTTGACTATAACTGAATAGAGGTTTATAGCTGATAGCTGTAGTAGCCCCTTCATGTCTTCACATGTTAAATAAGTGTTTGAATTAGGAATCTAGGATACCTTCCCACGCCTTCAGCAGAGCATCCAGACTGCTCTGATCAGTTCCTGAAAGCGGGCAGTCGCCTGTGTAGGGGACAGGCTCTAAATCTAGTGCCACCCTAATGCTACAGTCTACACTAAACTAGTATGTTTATAGACACACAGATAATTAGTTAAGTTCTAATGTTCTGCCTGTGCAAAGGCAAGGCAGCTCTACTAATCTGTGCTTTAGCAGTCCCATGGCTTTGAAGATAAAGAGTGAGAATCTGATTCACCAAATTAGATGTGGCCTTCTGGGACCTTCAAAATCTGAAATTCTCTTTTGTTTGGCTCTGCAGCAGGGCTGATATGAGAGGAAGGCTCACTCAGCATGTAAAGTCATAAGAATATAGAGAAAAGTAAAGCTGTTCAGGAAGAAGACTAACAAAAGAGAGCTCATCTATCAAATACACTCTCCTTTGCAGGTACAGGATCATTCCCGCACCTTAACTTTCCAGTTTCCCCTGAAGCTGGAGATGCTGGCTAAATACTTGGCCCACTTCTAATCAGCTATCACACAGTCACACTTTTCCGGAGTAAATTAAACTTTTGTTTCAAGAAGGAAGGACCACAACAACTTTGCAGGCACTACAGTATCATTTTGATTCTGTCTTCATGTCTTAGATGGGATATAATGGATCCTCACTGCTCCCACTGCTGTTTTGGGGACACATGACCAGCCCAAGTACATGGACTCGTCTCCTCATTCCCACTGCTTTTCAGTGGAGGTCTGACTCAGACCTTGGAGGCTGGGTTCCAAAACTGATGTTCATAAATTCATTGTGAAAAATCTGACTTCAAACTTTCCTTCCAGGCTCAGAGAATAGTGCAGAATACAGGAAAACCTCATTTCATTTACAATTGGCGTCAGAGTACAAATTCAATGGGAAAGAACTTTGGCTCTGGAAACGTAAATTCTATTTTAATTATATAATTACAGGTAGTAAAAAACCTGTGAAACAAATAATTTACAATTCAAATAGTAATATATCTGTAATATATTAGAAATATAGTCTAAAAATGCCTCCACGTTCTTAATTAGTATAAAGTTTAATTTTATGCTTTGTATAGAAATTATATCTTTACTTGTTACTGCCTCAGCAGAAGGAAAGAGAAAAGGTTCCTAGGTACCTAAATAGCATTGGGAAATTAAAAAATATTTTCTTTTGCTCTTTTTTTGGTAATAGAAAAATAGCCTTTAAAAATAGATAGTTAAACATATGGGCTTATATTAAAGTAAAATTGTATATTATATACAGTAAGGCAGTATATCATATATTATCCTGCTTTCTTTTTAATTTTGGTTTGTTTGGACTAGGATATGAATGGGATGCAGTCTTCTGTCACATTGAAACAAAGTAAAAATATATTTAGAAGAATTTGTTATTTTACTGCAATTTGTAGAATATATTCTCTTTTATATGTGATTTGTCATGTACAAGAGCTCCTTTTTCTCAAGGATTGAGAAAAAAAATAAAGACAACTTAATCTAGTGTCAGAATGCATGCAGAAGACAACACATTGTAGGTAAGAATACTGTTGTGCAATGATTTATGTAATGTAGGAACTGCTCAGATCACTATGGTTTGCTGACTGACCCATAACAATTTTCATCTTTGTTGGATCCGTGGTATTTCCTCAGGCTTCATCGACCAGCAGAAGTTTTGCAGAACTGAATAATTATTTTACAGTGCATTTTTCACAATAGAAAAGATCCATGTCCTCATTTCACTGTGTCAGAAATGTGTGCTAATGATCCAGGATTTACGCCCACGACTATTACCTCAACTCACAGATTATTTTATTACCTGTACAACACACATTGGAGACTAGGCTTTTGGAAGCTAGACTTTTTTAAAGAACTGTTTGCTATGTGATTTTATTTTACTGTGTGTAACTACTGAGTATGTGCTGTACTAAAAGGTTATTTAAAGGAGGGCATAAAGGAAGATGGGTCCATGTAGTCTGATCCGCTGGTGTCCCCTCTGGAGTCGCTTGGAGCTGTTGTGCTGTAGCCCGTACTCTTCTCAGCTTGACTTTCCTGAGGGTTCTGAGATGTTTCTGCTACAGGTTCTTGTGATACAGGTGTGTTCTGGGTACGCTGATCTGGCAATAATACTAAAATGTGATGGTCCACAACTGTTGAGACCTTGGTATATTCTTTGCTGGTTCCTGGAACAGTGCTTTTTTTGGTCTTTCCACTATTTTCTTTATGTTTCAGTAATAGTGTTGGCTCCTCATCTTGTCTGACTTTATGAACTTCTACATAGTCCATTAGTTTAGGATTCAGGAAAGGTGACTTGTCATTTTGTTGGTTTTGTCTGACCTGCACTGTGGTTTGGTCAGGTTTGGAATACTCCATCTCACTTATCTTTTCCATGTCATCATACACAGTTTCAGCAATAGGATACAGCGACTGACGATTTTCTTCATTTCCCACCAAAACTGGTGAAGTGTTCACATTTGTGGTGTTCAGTGTTATCCTGAATGCCTCCACAGTGCTATGGTAGGCAAACATAGCAGCCTGATTACCAGGTAACTGAGCTGCCAGCCATGTGCACGACTTTGTACTCTCACTGTTACAAGGGAGCATTTTCTGTTCTGAGGCTGCACACTGAGTTTCCCAGCTCCCTTTTCCTCCTTTCTTTTCTTTAGCTCTCACATCTTGTGTTTGAAGAGTAGATGGAAGGCCACGGGATTCCCTGCACTTCACAGGGAGGAGAGAAGGGCTATCACAGCTTCCTCGGCCTGAGTCACTGTCTGTTTCCTTGAGTATAATTTTTGTGTTTTTACTGGGAGTGTCATGACTTGGCATGAGTTGCTGATCCTCACTGTCCTCTACCTCCAGATATTCTATCAGTAGCTCCTCGCAGTCTGATGTTGGAGGGAAACCATGGCAACCAAGAGCACTCAGTAATTCTTCAGATTTTCCTGTCTGAAGGTACAATAAGGAGGTTGTATTTTTTCATTGTCAACCTTAGGGATTATATGAACAATCTACACATTTGATATAGAAACACTTTGATAGTTATATTGCTAGACCTAAATCTGATTTCTACTGCTGCAGAAAATATTGAAAGAAGAAATGAAAAATTCCTGAGTTTCTTCGGTGGGGAGACAATCCTAAAATTCATGTTTCTAATGTGGGAGGAGCAGGGAGCTTTTGGCAAGTATGGGTCTCCTGAGTTTAATAAGAAGGAAATGGAGGAGAATTGCAATGTAAACATGTCCTGCCTCTTCAGCATGGCAAAAGACTGTGAGAGCACTGTCCATAAGAATTACTGGGAAGTTCACAGAGGCATTTCCTCGTGTCCCAGGAAACAGGGCAGTCACCAACCCCGTTCTTAAAACACCCTCTTGTTACAAATGCAAGGCAAACTCTGACTCACACATATCTTCCACATGTTTACTTGGAAAGTGTTGCTTATTTCCAACGTTGATTAATTGAAATAGTTTTACGCTTTACTGTGGTAATTGTGTTTGCTAGTGTAAGTAAGTTGGAAAAGTGAGTTATGGTGAATTCTTTTGTTGCTAGTTGTGGTACTCACCTCCAGCAGATGTGTATCTATGCCTTTTATCTTTGGTCCTGGAACTGGTGGCAGGATAAAGGCCATCATTCTAAAAAAAGCAGGGAGCAAACATGCCAGGTATAAATACAGACCCTATTTGTTCTCCCATTTCCTCAGAAAATGACATGATTTTAAACACTTCTCCCATATCTTATGTGTCCCAGTTGGACATCTGTCTTCTGTCTGTCTCTCAAGCTGGGTAATTCACAAATCCAGTTACAGTTCATAAAGTACCCTTAGACGTATTGATAAAAAAACACCAGTAGTACAAAAGTTAGTCAACTGGAAAAGTAAAATTACTAATATGCTTTTAATTGTCATCTGTCCCGTAACCTCCAGTTTTATAATGCCATTGTAAATTCATCATTGGTCAAGAAAGAGTGAAGTGAGGCACAGTTCAGGAGGGCTAGTAGGGCTGTCTGTACATCTTTGACTGTCACCTGACTACTGCTAAACAGGATTTATGGTGAAGGACATGGCTTTTCCAGCCACAGTTTCTATCCCTTTCTTCGACTCAGCCAGTATTTTTTGTAAGACTCGTACAAAAGCAATAATCTTTGCAACACCTTTCTCCTTCAATTTGAATGAAATTAGCCAGGATTCTAAGAAATCATTTGGGAAATTGATAGAGAGCTGGCAGAAAGACAATCTCATAATACAATCTTGTTTACTTTAGGAAATTATGACAAAACCCAAAGACATATCTCCTACAGGAACAAGGATACTCCAAGTAATGGTTGATGAATATTACATGACTAACAAAGATTAGTCAGATCTAACAGAGACAGATCTTTACCAACTGAGAATTTAGCCTGGTTTCCATAAGGTGCAGAAACACTGCCTTATCAGTTGCAAATTAAGTCAAATACCTACCACTAATAGTTTATAAGATAAGGCAAATGCCATAGAAAATTGAAGCAAATATTAAGTGTCTATTTTTGAAAAGTCTTCTCTGATCTTGGACTCATGCAATTGTGAAATTGGTGGCTTACCTGTACCCTTTCATAATCATTATCCAGCTCATGATTAAACATATAAGAGATGACAGGACACCAACGACGATCCACACAACCATATCTTTTACTCTAAAGTCTAAGAAAAAACGGAACAATTTAAGGACATGCATCTAGCGTATGCATAGTCAGCATGCAAAAAAAACCCCTTGCAAATTACTTTTATTTTAAAAATTGGCCTAAACTGCCAAATTTATGATCGAATAGAGGCCTTCACCAGCACAGATGGATCTCAACAATCCCTGTAATATCGAATAATGAATATAATTTTTACTAATGGTACTGCACAGGAAATAAACTGTATTGGAAAAATCATACAAAAATGCATAAAGAGGAAAATTTTGTCACAGTCAATTATACAGATTGGGTTCAAATCCAGTTGTACCAAAACTGTAGTCATTTCATTATTAAATACATATCATACAATTAATTAAATGCTGGGTAAAGTGACCTAGGTTTACATATTTTAAGGGATTTTTATTTTAATGTAACACTTTTTTATACTCAAGTGCTTATTTCATATTAATTCCAGATAAAGAATAATGAAGAGCTGTTACTGTCTGAAGGCAGTTGTTTTTGTTGTCTGTGTCACAGTTTTAATGCAGTTGCCAGTGTTCTTTTAATTAAAAAATACCATAAAGAGGAAAAATGAGGCAATAGACAGAAAGGACACTGTTTAAATAAGCAAAGAAATTATTCACCTTCATAACTCTATCATAAAGTAATGAAGGGGAAAGGTAACTGGGTATGCTGCAGGGATGATAAGGATTTGGTTACCTTAGCAATGATGTTCTGTCTGTCCTAGGGAAACCAAGGGATCTGCATGGGTGCCACAAACAGCTAACAAAAAAATATAACATGAATTTGCATGCAATAACAATTACTGAAGGGATGCCTGGCCACTCACCAGTAGGGATCTCAATATACATTTCTGGGCTCCAGTCACTCCACAATCCATGGTGGTCTGGTTTGCAGTGAATCTGTACAATGTACCTCTTTCCAGGATTTAAACTAAACATTTTACATTGTGTTTGCTGTCCCACAAAAATCGTCTGGAAATAAAACACACAGCTAAGGGTTAGGTAATCAAGATGAGAATATAGAATGAGTCTGGATATCTTTCCCTAATAATTGTTGAAAAGGCATGGAATAATGGTACATTTATTTTATTTCTATAGCTTAGCCTTTCTAGAAGGTGTGAATGAGATTTGGCTCTGATATACAGTGCAAATTAAACTGCTGTGAAAACACATCATGAATTTATGGCAAATAGGGGAGGAGCAGTGATAATGGTAGGAACTGCAATGGTTACAAGAAAAGGAGGAGGCAAGAAACAGAGATGGAGAAAGAAAATGAAGAGAGGAAGAGAGAATGTGGAGTGGTGGAAATGCACTGGGTAATAAAAAGTAGGTCTTGCAATGGCCAGAGGGCCAGAAGAAAGTGCAGTGGGAGGGGAAGGCAGGAGGAGACACAGAAGTGGTTTGGAAGTTCTGCAGACAAGCAGGGGATGGAGTCAAATACCAGCAGCTGGACTCTTTAATTTGCCACAGTTGTTTCAGTTGTAGATCCTGGCATAGAAAATTATTATTATTTCGTGGCCACTACAATTACCACCTAATGGTTATTTATATAAATTTGAATTACTTTGTGTAATGTCACTGAGCTTTCTGTTATCTAAGAAGTGCTTGTGGTTAAGAATAAATTATCACAAAAGAAACCTGACTAAATGAGAATGAGCAATTTAAACTACAATGCCAATATGATTAATAAATAATGACCACAATTAAAAACGAGTACTTTATTACCTGCTATTGTACAGCAGCATCTGAGATACCAGTGATCTCAGCAGGATATCATAGGTCACACAAGCACTTTTGAAAAATTATGAACTAATTAGAGTGTCTGCATCATTACATTCAGGCATTGGATCTGGATGACAAAATCTAGAAAGCATTATCTAGCAAAAACCTGTGACATCCTTACCTCCCATTCCTCTCCTTCTTCAGGCTTTAGTCGCAATTCATATTCGAGGGTAAGCCATCCAGATCTGACATCAGCTAGTGGGGGTGGAGACCATGTCAGGACCAGATACGGCTTTCTCTTCATTGACTTTTTTAATTCCAGAGTTATATTCACAGGAGGATCTGGCTGTACTGTTGAAATAAAAGAACTGTCAATAAGAATCAAAGTGATTTTTTCCCCCGCAGCTTAGGAAGAAACATAAAATGATGTGAGCAAAGAGTTGCCATCTATATTGTGCCTGGTAATTTAGAACTGCTGCTGGAATATAGAAACCAAGAGTTTTCAGATAAAGTATGAATTTATGAATTTTACCCCCCCCCCCGAATAGTAGTAAGCATGCTGAATTCATGTCGAGATTTGCCTTAATAATTTATCATCAAAGGTATTTTTTCTTACATTACAGTTTATTGTTACTTTTCCCCACAACTATTTTTCAGAGTTAGCATCTTTAAGGCTATGTTATGAAAGTTGTGTTCTATTATAATCTTATCAAAGCTTGGCATAACTATTTAGGAACACTGAAAACATGGATGCAGCTAATGAAAGTTTTCCCCTCCATCTTTCGCATTTAGAAAACACAACTGCATGATTCCTACACTCATATGTAAAGATACTTAAAAGTAAACCAAAAAAGCATATTAAAGCTCTCTCTGTATATCTAACACAAATAAAAATGGAATACAGGTTTCTTCTACAGCCAGGCTTGCATCTTCCTCAGTTTAGAGGTACAGCTTCTGCATATTGTGCATGTATTTTACACTGTCTGATCAAAAATTCATCAGGTCATTTCACTGAGGTAAAATATAAAGCCATTTCTCCAGCAGCCCTTTTCCAGTTGCTAGACTCCTGGCAGCCAGATCCTTGACAACAAAACGGTTATCAAGGATAATGTTCCGTTCCCTTAGATAAAACCCTAATTACCTGTCCGCAGTCACTCTGTAGAAAAAGTCTGAGAAAGAGATTATCAGTACACTGCTATAAAAAGCACTAATGCAGCTTCTCTTGGGTCTGGAAACTACTTTTAGGTAATCAGATTTAAGTATTATTAGTTAAAAGATAAAATTTATTCCAGTTGCTTTCACAGTGGAAAAAAGATTTTAGCTGGATGATGTTTCTTAGGGTTTGACTACAAGAAATATGGAAAACCAATAAAGGTTTATCTAAACATAATTTTAAAGCTTTTAGCATTTTTGTCTTCTTCTGCAAATAAGATGGTAAAGGGATGAATATTGATTTGTTTTTACACAAAGGAATATCTTATTTGTACAAGTTTTTAACTTGGATATAACGCTATATACCAGGAGAGCTGGAATTAAAATTCTTGTGTCAAAACCCATTATTCTGAATGATTTGGTTCCACAGAAACTACTTTTTAACTCTTACCTATGTAAGTCACATCCACATAATGAGGATCAGAGACATTACTTCCCATTTCATTAGTTGCCCTCACAGTTATATTGTATATGGTCCAGAAAGAGGTGTGCTTTTTATCGAAGTAGCACGAATTGGGGCCTGCAGTTTTGTAATCTGGACATTCATAAACTTTTTCTTCTCTGAAATGAAAGAATCCCAGTGATTAGGTTACACAGACTAAAACACCTGATTTTGGTTACTAGTACTTCAGCATTATTTAGGGCTGGATCTGATTTTTCATACCTGGCAATGTGAAGAAAATCATAAAACTGCTTCCAGACTAAAGAGTCACTGGGCAATCCCAGAGACTGTACTAAGCATTTTCCCCACAAAGTAAATGCCACAAAGCCTGAAGAATTTAGGCTACGGCAGATGTGGCTGTGGGCTAGTACAGCACAACTCTTACTTCTCTGAAAGACCCTGTCCACTGCACAGCCCAGAGCCCCTACATGTTCCAGAGACTGACTAGAAGTGATTGCTGAAGTATTCTAACCCATCTAATAAAACCTATGTATTTCCAATGCTCATGCTACATTTACAGGAATTCTGCATGTTACACTAATATGCTTTCAGAAGTTATTTGGTTTTTCATCTCTTGATTATCAAAAAATTAAAATCTACTTTGTACCTTTCCTTCACATCCATACCCAAGCTTCCCAAAATCAGAGAAAGGATAGGAGAGAAAATTGAGTACGCAGTACTTGTTTTCATGCTCTTCCTAGATACACAGTAACAAAAGAGAAAGTTGTGGATGCAGATCTCTTACTCTACCATACCTGGCTGGACCAGTATCTGTCTTTTTACACTAAGAGTGTGCTCTCAGCTGACATTTGCAGAAGTTTATCTATCTAGCTCACTGCAAGGTTGAGCAGTAACTAAAAAGGACCAAAAAGGGTTCACAAGACCTAAAAAAATTCACTGACTTTTCCTTTAAAATGAATGTTCAGCACTTTACCTGAGTTCCAAGGAAAGATTACTACAGAAACCAGGAGGCATTAATGGCCTATGAATACTAGTGCAAAACAAGCCTTATCAGATGATAAGAGTTTTAGTATCTGGTCATTTTGGAAAGCTTTATTTCTAAGACTGCATGGTTGAAGAGTTTTAGGACTGTGCAGTTGTATTGTTTACTATTATGCTGTTGATGAGCAATGAAAAGACAAAATTCACAGTAATTCACCTGCCTTTATAAAGAGATCAAGATTGAATATTTCAATCTTAGACATGTTGCTGCTTTAGTGTGATGCCAGAACATGCCAAGGGACAAAAACATGGACTGTAGAAAAAGGCACCACCCGAAACAAGAAACAAAGAAGATTGATTTTCCAGGTCCTTCCAACAAAATACTGAATAACTACACAGTGCTTATTACCCCTCTTTGCTGTAAAGCAAAGTGTGGTTGGTCAAGAGTCCTCCATTCGAAGCAGGTTTCCACCAACAAGTAAATGTTTCTTTTTCAGGAGAGCGACACTTTATTATTGTAGGCTTTTCAGGAGGTAACCGTTCTGTAGGAGATAAATAAATTAATTACTTGTTAATTTATTTATTATTATTATTTATTAATTACTAATTAGTACGTTTAATCCATTAGGTCCACCTTGAATTCGTAAAACAATGTCAAGCACAGAACAGGAGAATATGAAAAAAGTTTTGCTTCATAGTAGTGCAGAAAAGGAGGGACCATTCACTGCTGAGGGCAACAGCTTAGGGCAACTCATAACGAATGTTGAAATACTGTCATAGTAGGCTCTATGAAATTATTTAAAATACACTCCACTATCCAATCTATTTTCTGTAATGTTCTGGGATAGAGGTTATTTCTTCTCAGTAGCTGGTATAGTGCTGTGGTTTGGATACAGTATGAGAATAATTTTCATACTACGGGGATATTTTGTCACTAAAGCATGTTTATCCTAAGCCAAGGATCTTTTTATGTCTCCTGCTCTGTCAGTGAAGAGGTACAAAACAGAAGAAAAAGTTGGGAGTGAGTATAGCCAGGAGAAGTGACGGGACCAATCCACAGAACATCATCTCCATCAGACAAATTTGGGAGTTACCCGGAACCAGTGCCCATCAGGATTCAGAAATGGAGTCTGGCATTGATCAGCAGTGGGTCAGCAAATAAATTGTCCATAATTTAGGGTTTTTTTCCCCCCCTTTTTTATCATCATCAATAATCATCATCATCATCTGCAATTTATTTTCACATTTTACTTTGTTTTAATTATTGATCTGTTCTTATCCCAACCCAGAGATATTACCTTTGATTCTTCCCCTCATTCCACCATGGTGACATATGAGTGAGCAGCTCTGTGATGGCTTGTTGCAAGCTGGGCTTAATCACTACATACAAAAACTTTTTTTTTTTTTTTCAAAAGGGGTATTTTAAGATGATTCTGTTTGTTTGAAAGGTATGCTGTCATTTTCTTTTGCTTTTAGGTAAAAAAGAAGAATGTAAATGTTTGTCTATTTGTTTGTGTTCTTGCCAGTAATTTTCTTCTGAAGTACTCAAAATATACACAGAAGCAGCTCTCGTATTTCACTGTAATATTGTTATGTTCAGTACTCAGACTACTTGCGTGATTGCTTCTGAGCAAGTTTTTATAGTCTCAAGAACAGCACTTAAGAATTGGGCACAGAAAAATGCTTACATTTTGAATAGGATGATGCTCGTCAAAACCCAGAAGTGATTGAAACTTTTGCAGTTATGTATTTGTGGCAAAAATATGGTCCTATTACATCAATAATATATATTTTCTACTATATACAGCAGAGACATTGATTTTTCGAATTTCTAATTGCCTAAGGAGATCTGAAAATGAGACATTTAAAAAATATTTTTCTATTAACAGTGCCTCAACAATCTCCATGTCAAATAATGAATAATACAACTAGTAACTGAAGAAATTTTGAGTAAGTTGGCTAAAGTGTATGGCAGCAAGATATGATTATTTATTTATTTATTTATTTAGTGTGTCTACTCAAATGCAATAAAACACGGATAGTGACTTCCATGTGATAGTACCTGTAAGACTTAGACACATCAGTGCTTTCCGTCCAAGCTCTTATACGAAAAACATTACCTGATATTTATAGCTACAGATAAAACCAACGTGATTTTTAAATAAAGGGCCAGGGACAATAAATCATTTAGTACGCCTGTATCAGGAGTGACTTCCTAGTAAATCCCACCTTGCTCATCATAGCCAGTTTCAGCAGAGTATCCTGACCGGATCAACAAGATTACAAAGCAAACAGAAAGTATGGTAAAATGCACTGAACACTACAAAGTATCCATGTGAGAGGTCAGGTTTTCAGGACTGGCATTCAGGCACGTTCACAGCATCGAACCTGCTACAATTTAAAAGCAATTTACAGAGCAGCAATCATCCACTCACCTTTAGCCACCTGAATGCTTCTTTCTGAGCTCCACTCGCTCCACTCCCCGAGGTCTAGCATGCAGCGCACCTGCACAACATACTTCACCCCAGCCTGCAGGCTGGTCACCTCGTAGTGCGTCTGCATTCCTACAGACACGGTCTGGGAAAATAACAAAGAATCGGACCACTTTAACAAATCAACCATAAACGAGTAGGCGTGAGTTACTGGTTTATGAAAGTCGGGGATTTAAGTGGGGTATTTATAAGACAGTAAATTCAAAGAAGCAAAAGTAGTGGTTTCGCAGGAAAAAAAAAAAAATCACTGCTGATTCTGATATTCCAGGATTGAATTGTAGACTTCCTCATATCCATCATATCCCCAATGCAAGGAGCACTACAAATAGTCCAGCCCACACATAAACTCCCCACTGAAATTCTTCTCAGTGGCTTTAAGTGACTTCCTCAGACCCTTCTAATTTCTCCTCAGAACTATTTCAAAATGCACAGCATTCTCCATCATTAAGGCATCAACAAGCTAGGTAGCATTGAGGACACGTGACTGTAACTTTAAGAATGACATTTTGTCCTAAAAACTCAGCTGTAGCAGTACTAAAGTTGATTCTTAGAAAAATGGCAGGTTGATTCCAACTGATCATGTCGAAGAGGATTATGAAACTGGGTTTAGTTATACATAACATTAGGATGATTATGTAAATACATTGAATTTCATGGTCTCTACAGACCACTCCAGAATTTTTTTTTTCTTTAATCAGATTTGGTACATTAATTTTTCAATCCTTACACAAACTAACATTTTTATAGGACCAGTTAAATGGAGACGAGAATTCACTGGATAGACCATTCATAAAAGAAATTTATTTTTCCCTTACCTCCCACTCTTCCTTTTCCTCAGGCTTTAGTCGTAGCTCATAGTGATACACATGTGAATTAGAGCTGGCATCAGCTAATGGGGGTGGAGACCATTTTGCCCAAAGGTATGACATGTTAGCAGATGTGTTTGTTTCTAGAGAGAGGTTCACAGGAGCATCTGGCTGAACTGTATAAATGAATGAAAAGTGTGCCATTTAATTTTCTCTCAGAAAAGACACCTCCTTTATGGTTTTGTATGTCATCATATTAATTTCACATAATTCAGCACTGTAAAAGAATAATGAAGAAGGCTTTTACTTTTCCTTTCTCCTTTATGAGTTTAATTAGCTCCTGATTTCCAACAGTATCAGCAAATCTTAAGCTTTACTCTGAATTTGTCTGGCTAAGGAAATACAAATCATAATTTCATCAGGCCACTCTTGCAAAATTAAAATGTCAGCTAGAAAAACTAAGTATACTATAATTAAAATGGTATATTATGTGTGTGCAGAAAATAGAATGGAGTCAGGAATATAAAATACAACAAAAAGCCTGTATAATGCTCAGGCAGTTATTTTTACCCTTCCAAGACTGCAATGCCAGCAGTCAAAAAGATTTTTACATTTGAAGTATTAGGTAGGTTAACCTAATTTGAAAATTTTATAATCTACATTGAGTCTAATTAAAATACTGCAGACAACTAAAAACTGAGGCAAATTTTTCAACTGAAGTTAAAATTTTTACATATTCACATATGAAATTCTTACAACCAAGAATGTAGTTACTAAATTTGTAAGTAAAACACTATTTTCACGTACATTTAACATGCATATTTTAGATTATCTGTAAATAAACACTTCTCAGTAGGAAGTTTCACATCATGAAAAAAGAAATCTTTCACCACTACCTGTTGTAAGATTAAAAACCGCACACATCTCCAACTAGTTTGTTTTCCATTTCATTCTTTGATTTTACCTATGGAAGTTACATCCACATGCTGAGGATCTGAGCTGTTACTTCCAATCTCATTTGTTGCCATTACAGTGATAATATATGTTGTCCAGGGATTAGTGTGGTTTTTATCGAAGTAGCAGGAATTTGGACCTGATGTTAGGTAGTCTGGACATTCATAGATTTTTTCTTCACTGAAACAAAATTATTTAAAAATTTAGGAAATGAAGCGAAGTAGATAATATTCTAACCATGGAGTAGGTTCAGCAGAGAAATCTGAAATGTTTGTATATACATATATATATAGTCACATACACAATTTATATAGATGTATAAAATAAAAGAATTTATTTATTTACAAATACAAAATATATATAACATTTATAATTTTATATTATATATATCTATAATCCCATCTCTTGGAAATATTTTGGTACATGTCAAATGCCATTAATATAAATTCTCCATTGATATTTTTACTGCAGTTGTTTTGATGAATCCTTTCACCCCCTTTTTTATACATAGGAATAAATCAACAAAAGAATAGAAACAGAAATTTTCAGAGACAGAACAAAGAAATTTTAACAATATTTATAAGCAAGTAAGAGGGAAGTGAAAAATATTTATTTCAATTAGATAAGTTGCTAAATATCTTTGCATATTACCCCTTGAAATTATGGGCCCTATGGCCGAGAGTTCTTTTACTGATTAGTTTGTTTTCAACAAGGTCAGAGAATCATTTAGGTTGTAAAAACCTCTAAGATGTCAAGTCAAGCTTTGACCACCTTGTCAACCAATGTCCAGTCGTTTCTTGAACAGCTCCAGGAACAGGGACTCCACCACCTCCCTGGGCAGCTCGTTCCAATGCTTACCCATCCTTTCAGTGAACAAATTCTCTCTGAGGTCCAACCTGAACCTCCTCCAGTGCAGTTTGAGGCCATTTGCTCTTGCTCTATCACTATGCCCTGAGTGCAGAGACTGACCCACACATGAGTACAGTCTCCTTTCAGGGACTTGTGAGTGACAAGGTGCTCCCTGAGCCTCCTTTTCTCCAGGCTAAACATCCCCAGCTCCCTCAGCTGCTCCAGACAGGACTTGTGCTCCAGACTCTTCCCCAGCTCTGTTCCCCTCCTCTGGACTCACTCCAGCCCCTCAGTGTCTCTCCTGCTTTAAGTGGCCCAAAACTGAACCCAGGATTTGGGGATTTGGGTGCAGCCTCCCCAGTGCCCAGCACAGAGGGGCAGTCACTGCCCTGGTCCTGCTGGCCACACCATTGCTGATACATTCAGGGTGTCCTTGGCCCTGGGCACACCTGGCTCATGTTCAGCCCCTGTTGATCATCAATCATCCCCAGGGCCTTTCCCTCCCAGCAGCTTTCCAGCCACTCTGTCCAGCCTGGAGCTGCAGGAGGTTGTTTTGATCCAAGGGCAGGACCCAGCACTTGGCCTGGTTGACCCTCACACCATTGACCTCAGCCCATGGATGCAGCCTGTGCAGATCCCTCTGCAGAGCCTTCCTGCCCTCCAGCAGATCTGCACTCCCACCCAGCTTGGTGCAAACTGGCTGAGGGTGCTCTTGATCCTCTCATCCGGATCATCAATAAAGATAAACAGGACTGGGCCCAACACTGATCCCTTAAGGACACCACTGGTGACCAGCTGCAGCTGGATGTAATTCCAATCACCACCACCCCCTAGGCCCAGCCATCAGCCAGTTCTTAGCCCAGCAAAGAGTGCTCCTGTCCAAGCTATGGGCTGACAGCTTCTGCAAGAGAATGCAGTGGGAGACATTATCAAAGGCTTTGTTGAAGTTCAGGCAGACTACATCCACAGCCTCTGCTGACTGGGTCACCTGTTCATAAAAGAAGATCAAGCAGGACCTGCCTTTCCTAGATCCACGCTAGCCAGGCCTGATCCCTTGGTTGTCCCCTGTGTGCTGTGTGGTTGCACTCAAGGCAACCTATTCCATGACCTTCCTGATGTCAATTTATTTGCTTTTTAACATGATCATCATCACAACTATTTAAAAAAAAATTACTTCACAGTCAACTACTTATTGCCTTTAAATGGGTCTTTGGCTTCTTTAGGAGAAAGATTGTTTTGTGCTCACAGCTGACCTGGGTGATGTACTCACAGCCTACCCCAGGTGTAAAGAGCTACACAAACCCAAAGCATAAGCTGATGACGGGCAAGAATGAACTTTAATTCCACTATATGCTCTATAATTCCACTATATGCTCTATATATTATCAAATGTAAGGTTTCTTAGTTTCCAGGCAGTTTTGTCACAGTTCACAAAGAAAAGATGGGAGAAAAGGGACTGTACCTAAGAGACAATAAGCTTAGAAAGTGCACTGTGGCCCAGGTCTACAGCGTTTGGCAGAGCCTAGGTTCAGCAGATTTAATGAAATAGATAAGCATTCCTATTCTTCCCTAAGCAGTTTGGCTCTAGGAAGTGGCAGGTATGAATTAAAACGTTCATTAGACTTTTTGATCAAGACAGAAACATCTGGGCTTTTCATAAAATAAAAGTTCTCAAATCATCATTGTGTGAAGTAACTTCATGAAAGACTGCATCTTTTTCTGCTCAATGATTTGGAATACTTAATTATAGCAAGGATGTCTAAGGCTTTATCTTACCTATTCTGAATCTCATTGGATTTATTAAAAAAAATTTAGTCTCTAAGCCTCCCCGCTTACTTGTCCTTGTTCAAAGACTAATTGTTTTCAGGAAGAAAGCACAGTTAAACAAAGATGGATAGGTTAAGTAAAGTTGTCAAACATATACACACTTTATTCCTGAACGGGATGAGGGAGTTGAGAATCTACCAAAATATTAACTTTTGAGATGTGATACCCATGTCTGATTTCACTGCATTTTTGGAACCACTGACCACAAAAGCAATAGGAGAAAAAATGCCTATAGTCCAGATGGGGGTTTTGGTGTGCAGGGTAATGGACAAGCTCCTTGGCAGGGCCCCAGGGGCCCCAGCCCCCCTCACTGCCCCTGGTCCCCAGTTCAGCTGGTCTCCAGCTCCACACAGCCCTGCCTTTCCCAGCCACAGCCTCCTGAGCCAGCCCAAGCCATGAGCTGATGTCCAGCCTGGCCCTGTCCCCAGGGTGACTGATGCCCAGGGCTGGCTGCCCCTCCTGCCCTGCTCCAGGCTGGGGTGATGGGAGACCTGCTGCCCTGTGCTGCTCTTGTGCTCCAGTGCTCAGAGGAGACTCCGTTCAGCTGAAAGCTGTGTGCTTCCCAAAAAGATGGGAAAACATGTCTTTGTTCCCAGCACATCTTCAGACACGTGGGATTTTTGGTAGATGAGTGTCAGGAGGGACAGGCTGAAGGTTTGGGGCTGTCAGTGGAGATATTTTCTTCCAACAGGGGAAGCCACGGATCTTATGCAGCCCTTCCTGTCAATCTGAGGTTAAAATGGATTCATAAAAACAACTTTACAAATTAATGTTGTCATTCTCTCAGTCCGTCATAACCATAACTTGATCACCTAGAGAGTACACATGCACCACTTGTTACCTGTCCTTGCTGTAGAACAGGGTGTAATTGTTAGGAAGTCCTCCATCTGAGCCAGGCTTCCACCAACATGAAAAGGTTTCCTTTTCTAGAGAACGACATCTTATTATCTTAGGTTTTCCAGGGTACGATTGACCTAGGGAAGTACAAAAATCCAGCTAGTTAAATTAGAAGTGGGCAATGCTTTTGGATGCTATTGTTGAATGACAGGTCACCCAAGCAGTCCTTTTTTGAAGACAATAAAATTACATGAAACTGTGGACTGAATTGGGCAAATAAATGTGCCTGGGAAAAGGATCAATATTTTCAGAAAAGTAAATACATTTTAGTTTAAACTTCTAAGATATCTAGTAGAATGATTTTGAATTTTAGCATGAACATTTATTTTTTACCTAAACTTGAAATGATATATTTATCTCCAAATTAAACTATGAAGATGGAAAATAAATATATGGCCTTTGGGGTTGGCCCCATAATCGTTAAAATTTTCTATCTTCAGATAATTTCAAGATTAAATTTCACCTTCAAGTTGGCAACAGAACTAAAATAGGATTTTTGTGCCTCTTTGGGCTAAATTACAGGTCAGAAAACTATAAAAAGAAGGAAATCAATGGGCTAGATGGAATTTTTTGGGTACTGGCAACCTGAATGTATTCATTAATCATTCAAATATTCCCTGTTAATCCAAATATATTTAAGAATATTTCTTGTTAAGACTACTTCTCATTAACTTATACCAAGAACACAGACCATACATTTATGCTCATTATAAAACAACAAGCATATGACCTTTTAATTTAAGCTTATATTTATTTCATTAAAGTTCTAATTATAATTATCTCAAATAGTGTAACTATTCATATGCTAACTCCCGAGAAGGTGACAGGCATAAAGTGAATATAGGGGTGGAGTAAGTGCCTTTCGATATTGCCACCAAACAATCCTTAAATTAATAGTATAAAAAGAAGAAACAACTCCAGCCATTTTCAAAATTGCCATGCCGAACTTCAGAAGGAAGTAATTTAAATAGGTACATGCTCCAGTGGTGGTCAGGATAGATTGGGTAAAGCCTTGGACTTTCCTAAAGAAAGTGCCTTAAGGAAAAAACAAGTGTTTCAGGAAGTGTACCTACCAGTCAGACCTACTGTAGTCAGAGCCAGCTGCAAAATAATTTGAACTGATGAAATGAATCTCCGTTTCATGATGCCCGTCTCTCCTCAGGAGGAAGTATCAGATCAAGGGCTCACTGAAAAACACGCCATCATGCAACAGTCAGTAACAATGCTCAGCATGCAGCACGATCAAAGTCCTTTTTGAATTGCAGCTAATTGATTCTTGCTCTCGCTCAAAAAGGTGAGGCAACAACAACACTTCCACTGTGGAAGCTGAAAACCTGAATCCCAGAGAAGCAGGTCGGTCTTCCAGACCTCTTTGAATGGTTAGCAGTGCTAGTGTTAGTTTATTAGCATTAGCAAATCTTGCATATTTCTTTGGCATCTTAGGATACTGGGTTCTTATCTTAAGAGTTCTAACTTCTAGATTAATTAATTAACCTAAGAAACCAGACTTCTAGCAACAAAAACATACTTTTATCCCTACTGATGCAAAGAAGGGGTCAACATACTTGAAGTCTGAAAGTCCAGAGAATAGAACGCAAATAGAAAAGGTCCCACATTTATTTAGAAGTTTATGATTTTTGATCCAATCTCAAAACTTCTCAGTATTTGGGACTGTCAAGGTTGAATTCAGGATCACTTGAGCTGAAGAATGCTACTTTTTCAGTGCATTCAACCAATTGATTTCACAGCATTTGATTTTGTAGCAAATTTCAGCTGAAAAACAGATGTGCAAGTGGTCACCAGCTGGGACCAAGACCCAGTCCCTGCAGTGGGCTCACACCACTAGATGTCCTCAGAATTCAGGTTACAACTCCGGGTGCTCTGGAGTCCCTGTTGCTGCTCAGTCTGTTTGCCTAGCCTGAAGAAAAGACATAACGACCTAAAGCAAACCTCCTGCTCCTCCCACCAGTACGGTCCCTGCTTGGAGATGACTGCAGTCAGCTATCGCAGCCTCGGTACCTAACCTCACCCTGGGACACTAAAGAAGAACAATTTACTGTCTAAGTAGGGAGCTCCTTAGCTTTCCACTCCTACCCCTAGCACATTCACAGGTGCTTGTATGCTTGCAACCCATTCCATGTAGCACAGCATGGGAACAACTGTGCCCTTGGTGAAAAAAAATCCTTTGTGGTTTATCAGATGACTCAATTTTCAGTATGCAATTCATTTTCCACATCAAGAAGCTGTAATACATCATCACACAAATGTTTTTCAAGTGCAAAGCCAAGCGGAGTATCAGTTAATGCAGCTAAGTCTAAAACATGTTTACTTTGGACAATGTGGAAGAGAACAACAGTTGGCTAAATTCCCATATGCCACTTCTGAATATCCAGGCGTGTTTCAGGCGTGTGACTGAGCTACAGGCTGGAAAATTGCATCTGGGTTAGTTTTAAACTCACTCAGAGCATTTTGTGCATATACAGTGAAGAGAGAACAACTTTAAATATAAATTCCAATTTGGTGTAAACACATGCAGTCTTTATTACTGTAAACAAATGACAGACACAAACACCAGTGTTTGACTTCAGAAATTAGCCAAAACCTTGCGGCTATATAATGAGGAACACAGATGATTGTGCTCATAAAAGGCACATTTTTCGCAGGTGAAGGTGAAATAACGAAACTACAAACTAGTAACTACTTCATGTATACATGATAGTATTTCCAATATTTTATTACTTCTAAAAATAGTTGGAACATTTGCAAAATACTGTACTTTCAAGCTAAGACTCATATGGATAAAGAACTAATACCATGATTATTTTTTCTCTTTACTTTTCTGTGTGAAGAAATGATAGAAAGAGAAACTGATTATACTGGCTGAAAGAATGAAATTTTTAATACAACAAAAGAGAGGCATCATCAAGAAGAATCTTTATTAGAGCACTCTTCAAGGAAAATGGGATGATTTTGTAACTGAAGACCTAAAGAACCAAATTAATAGCAAGAGGAAGAAATTAATGCATTTAAACAAAAGTATTTTTCCTCTGGAGCTTTTGAAAATGAGATGATTATGAACCACTTCGGTAATGTGGCTGTGCAAAAGAACAAGAGGGATATAGGGAAGGAATATGGACTTATCAGTGCCACAGACTGCTCTGGTAGTTCTGGTAACCTACACTTGGGGGAAAAAAACCAAACAGATTTTAGAACACAGCTACAAACATGACACAGAGACTGTCTCATGACGGTGATTTAAAGAACTGGATTTGTACTCCATGCAAGTGTGGCTGTCATCTGCAAATATAGAAGGAGATAAACACCAAAAGAGGGAAAATAAGAACGTGTAAAATAAGAAGGTTTCCACGGTTGCTTGCTATTTGGTATTTGTGACTCAAATAGGGCTTAAAAGGCTTATTGAGGAATGTCTTGTTGTTTTGAAAGTACTTGCTTAATAAAAAGGTAATACTCACTTTGTCATAACTGTATCTAAAGTGCATCTTCCCTATCTATGACATGAAAATGTTTTCATAAAAGGGTAATTAGCATTATTGAAGATGCTATGAGGTAATGTCTCTCTTTCAGTACTGAATGCGTTCTTTTATAAGGGATACAGTGGACACTGATTTGCCACAATATCATCCAAAACTAAGGGTTGAGTAACTGATAATTAAAAGATGATATGCCTGCTTTTGAAAATCTTGATTTAATTCCAACCAAGTTATGGCATCCTGACATTCTATGTGAATTTCTTCCTTTTAACACAGCTGTTAGATAGTATTCAACAGCTGCACATCACATGCCAGAATACAGTGCTCCTTGATGGAAATGGAAACTATTACTGGTGTTTTAGAATGCACAGAAGAGTTAGATATTCCTGTAATATAATTCTGCCCTGGAATTAATAATATAGTAGGTTTTAAACTGTAGGTTTGAAAACTGTGCTGGCAATGCTATTAGATGAAGATGAAAGCTAAACACCAATACTTAAATCAGGTTCTGTGAAGCAGAGTTGGGTGAAACATGTCCTTGCCCTAATTGACTTTTAGTTCCTGCATTCTTTTCTTTCTTTCTTTCTTTCTTGGCTCTGCTGATGGATAAATTTCTTGAGACTGACAGAGAAGTCCTTACTCAGTTCTGCACAGATGGAAAAATTGTCTATCTGCAATGTTTTCAGGCTTGCAGGAGCAGGAACAACTGTGTATCAGCCACTGGCAATGACATTATGTGCAACACAAGTTCTGCTTCTGTGGCTAAAGAAATCAAAAGCCAAAAGTACTTTACCAATCTCTACTGAAAAAGTTTGACATTTCCATTAGTCATGATCATAAACAATGTTCATCTTCCAGGCCTGGGGAAAGGCATTTTAAGGAGCCCTCAAAACACCGTAGTTCATTACCATTTGAAAGGCTGAACTATAGCTGTATGAAACTAAATACAAAAAAGGAACTAAATAATGCAAGAATGTGACAGTCTGTTAGACCATCTAGAACATTCAGCTGTCCCGTGGACATGGCAGGAGTCTGCACTCCCACTTAGAGATCACAAATGTCAACAGAGGATGCATGTTCCTAGCCATGGCCTGAGCATCATGGCCAGATGTGTTTCTGACTGACAGCGATGAAAATTCAAAGCTGTAGATGTGCAGTGTGACCAGAGCTCTGCTTTCCCCCTCTGAATGAGCCCTAATTTGCTGTGTCTGAGTCCCTCAGGCACCCAGTACTGCCTTCATGGTGATGTACAGGCTCCAGAGAAGAAGGAGCATGTCTGTGATCCGAATTTCTTGTGACTGATAGCAGCTGGCAACTTTAAGCACATAGGTTCTGTGGTGCACTTTGTGAGGAAGCCTAGTACCTGCTGCTGGCTATGAACCCAGATAATCAGTAAATTTATTGGGACTAAGGATTCATATTTCCGTGGGACCAGTGGTAAGGACTTCTAGATTTCACCTGAAAAGCCTATATATGGGCTTAGAATGCATTTTTCTGAAATTTCTCTCTTAAGTCACCTCCTTGGGTGACAAGGGTTAACAACCCTTGGCAGTCCTTCCTTTGATTATCAGTCAAGATGTGATGATGAACTAAACAAATGTCTTCATCCACTGAGATACCTTCCTTGGTCTGAAAGACTTGAATCAATTTTGAAAAAGGAAAATGCCAAACTCCATTCTTGATAATAGTTTACACCATTACATCTCCATCAAAGTATTTATGCTCTTAATTTTTATTTATGCTCTTAATTTCTATTTATGCTCTTAATTTCTATTGATTTTACAGAAATAAGCCTGAAGTTTTCTTAAGAACTCTCACTACCTAAACTGAAAAAAAAAAAAAAAAGCCAAGAGAAGAAGAAATTATCATTATCCCTACTTTACAGATGGGGAACCAAGGTAAAGAATGCCCAAAAGATTCATAGTAGAAGTGTAACAGAAGTTAAAACCTGATCATTTTCTACCATTTTTCTTCTCTTTTCTAAATAGCACCTCTACTGCCTTTGTTTTCCCACAAAAACAAAGCTAATGCTTTAGCTAACAGCAGTAATCTTTCTCTACCAGTCTCACATCTCCTGAATATTCCATTTTCTTCCCTAGTGGTTTGTATGTTTAGCCATAATTTCAGGATTTATTTTTACAGCAATCTCTTACAGAAAAGAAAATCATAAGCTCTAAAGGGTAAAATTTTAGAGACTAAAAGCTAGAATTTACATTAGAACTTGAAATACAATGTACATTCATCTCTACCAACTACCAAGCCCAACTCCACAATCACTATCTTCTTATAGTAATTTGAAGTATTTTTGATATAGTCATAACGTTTAAAATGGAATTTTCTACCTAGGGGACTCATGTATGTGAGTAAGCTTTTTATCCCTCTCTTTCATGAATGTCAGATTACTTGGTAAGTTGAGTAACAAAAATTCCAAAGATAGTAGATCACTGAAAGTATCACTACTTTATTCCTAAAACATAAAGAGAAAAAAGGTCATTTTTTATATTAGCTGTTGTAGATACTGACTCTAAGTAAATACACTTAAACATCAAGAGACAGTGGTAAAATACTGTATCTGCTTTCCTTTATCTATTTCAAGCAAAATTTTGTAGCAGTGAGCTTCAGATGCCGTTTAAATTTACTCGTAGACTGTGCTAGGCTACTTGATTAAAGGCTAATCCACATCTGCACACGATGGG